CCAATTTTCTAAGTAGTTTCACTACTCTCTCCTCTTCCATTAGTACATATTTTCCGTTAATTTCCCGTTAACTTTCGTTAGTCCATTCCTACGGTACCATAATTGACTTTGGTTTATCCTTTAATCCATTTGAGACACATGGCGTTACAATTTCTTTCAATCACGCGAACTCATCTTTACATAATTGTATTAATTATAAAAAAAAAATCTTCATTAACACTCCGCGTACATCGCGCTTTGCGATTGGATCGAAATTGTATTCTTAGGTTGCTGTGGCTTTTCCGGTAAAGGTCGTGAAAAAGCAACGAGGAAACGCACAGGGACGGCGACTACAATGGCGTTCGATTTTATTGGTCCTCTCCCACGAGTAACACATGCACGCGCCCGCACACGTGGCTACCTACGTCCACACGCGTGCGCGCACGTGCACATACATACATATATGGTCTCTCTTTCTCTCTCTTCCTCTTTTTCTCTTTTTCCATATGTGCTTCAGGGCGTTCGTTTTCACGAGGGACGCATACCGCGTAACCAGACACTTGCCCCAAATGGTTTCCGTATAGTGCACGTAGGTCGCAGTTGCATCGTACTGACGGCAGTCAGCAGATCCAGGGAGAAGTAACGAAGCGCTTTTCCACGCCCGCGTATCGGAATTTTGCGATTACTGCAGTGGAATGTCCGAATTTTCCGTGCTTGAAGACAGTAGTGTCGTAACTTACGTCGATTTGCTTTTATGCAAGAAATTCGAATAACTTACAACTACTTAAATGCAGAATTTTAATATTTACATGAATATTTTATAAAAGATTGTTCTGTTATTACTAAAGAAAAAAAATTTATTTATGGGCCAGCAAGAGCCTGAGCACAGATGTTCTACGTCATTTTGAATATTAATACAGTTAATATTAATATTATTTGTGGAAAGATACATGTTTAATTGTGTATACAGAAAAAAATACTAGATTGAAGTAAATAATTACTCCGATATTCTTTAATAAGTTTTTACTTGGATTAAGTAAATTTTACTTGTGGACCAAGTATTTTACTTAGATAACTTATTTGGAAAATATTTTACTTTAAATAAGTAAATATTATTTAACCTAAATAAACATTTGCTAAGAAGTATTGGAGTAATTATTTATTTGAATCTAATCACTTTTGTCTGTGAATACTTAAACTTCCGTTTCTTTCAATTAGCAATTGTACTCGGAGAATCAGCCTTTCACGTTAAAATCGATCTTTTAATTCTCAGAGTAACATTTATTTTATTTAGATATTTCCCGTAACGTGACTTATATTTTGATTCCTTATGATAAGCGTTGCGAAAAAATATTACCTCCGCTAGGATTCGAACCTGGATCTCTCCCATTCGTCGGACAGGATACTTTATCAATTCGGCCACCAATATTTTTGTTCATCAAACGGATACAGATATAACAAAAGGATGCGAAATTTTTAGTATTTTATATACATATTTAGTATTTTTGAATAGAGAAATTGTTAATAATACAGTTGTTTCGAAAAGAAGTGATTTTTCAAACGCGGCACAATAATATGAAATCTGCTTTCCCGGGTTTAGAACTATCGAGTATTGAAACGACAGGAAAATACGCGCAATACTCAGTTTGATACTGTTTTATGCAAAGCCGCGGCGCCTCCATAAATTGCACGGCTGCAGCCGCGCTGTAATTAAAAAAAGCACGTCCCCGCGATTTGCGCGGGTCGATTCGTATGCACCGACACGGAAAATATTCACGCGCGACACCGGGCGAATATTCACCGAAATTAGAAGTCGTTAAAGGACGGAGGGTTTTGGCGACCCGTGAAATTTAACTCGAATTGCAGTTCAAACTGGCTGCATTACGGAAATCCGTTTAATCCTTTCGGTTTCTCTCTTACAATGTAACGCCGTTGTTGAGCGCGAATGTCTCGCAAAAGTGGAATAGTTCAGCTCGGGGTTGACGCGGCTGACAAAAATGTCAATGATGAGACGCACTCGAGACACTCTCGAAGGCGAAAATCTCCCGCCTCGCTCGGGTGAATATTCACTCGATATTCCAGCGCTATTTCACAGTATTATTTTTAGCGAATTACAAATAATCCCGCGATCGTGTGCGTGTATATTCGCTGTGTTCGACGACTACGTGGATTTACGAAAGTGAAGAAAAAAGAAGCGCTCAAATCCCTACGCTTGTTTACCACCGCGGTGCTTGATTTACGCGGTACTTTGTCACTGATTGCACGATCGACAAAACGTACATCGATATATGTATGTACCGCGCCTCTCCTACATATTTCATATATTAAAAGCGTCACGTTTGTGTCAATCAATATTACAATCTCGGTACAGAGATAGAGACGTAAACTACGCGTCCATCGGTATTTGTCATATACGCGTATATACTTTTTATTTTACAACGGTATTTGTTTTGAGTGGATTTTTTTATCGCGCACTCTCCCCGAAAAACTCGCGGCACGGTCGAAATTCGACGTTAAACGTCACTTTACGATCCGCGCGGGATGCGCCGAGATAGACGACGAATAAAAATCGTATTTTTCCCGTATCAATATTTGCAAAACTTCTCTGTATCCGATCAAAATCCCAACGTCGCAGCCTATCGACGATAAAGCACGTTCTGGCAGAGGGGGCGGAACCCCCCTCCCTCCCGGGGTATGAAGGGGGCGGCGGGAAAAAAAAAATATTTTATCGTCGCTGCAACGTGTATGATGGATTATAATCAAATCGATGGTCCGATGTTGCGCAACGAGCTTGCGACTCAAAAATATAAATTATTTTGCTGCGCTCGTTAATGGACGGAGCACCTATTTTTAAACAAACGCGTGGCTTTCCTGCTAATGAAACAGAGTTGTGCGCGAATTATGACCGATGGGAGGTTCACTCCGGGACAGATTTATATTTTACGTTTTCGGACACGTCCTCCCCCCGCCCGGTGAATTTAGTGCCCATTCGTTTCTAACGGAAATATTGGGAGAGGTCGTGAAATTCGCGCGGCGACGTTTTGCTTTCCGAGCGTGTAATTCCTGCAAGGAATTAAATGAAACGCACCCTCGGAAATTTTGCCGTTTCGACCGACTCTTGAGCGAGCCATCAACGTGTCGTACGAGTGGCGAGAATAAATTGGTCGGTCAATGGATCGAAAGGCGACGCTCGCAAAGGGAGGAAGTTTAAATTTGTTCTTGGCACCTGCTCGTCTGACGCTGCCGGGAGATAGTGCACGAGTGGATAATTTACTTGATTATTTAATAGCCTCGGCTATACGGCCACGAGCCACGAACGCTTACACGTACAGCAGCAGCACGCATACTGCGAGACGGCGCGACGTGCGGCCAACTCTCGTGAATGGAATCGTGATGTAACGTGGACGAAATTATGCTATTCCGGTATTACACGTTACACGATATATCAGGTATACCCAGCGAAAAGTAGCTGGGGAAGAAAATCCGCATACGTGTAATATAATTTTGTGCGTTGTACTTTTTATATTTGTTATGTTATGTTTTATACATTCTATAGGTTTTATTTATTCCCGGGGAGAAAGAAGCGGGAAGGGAAAATATTCTTCACACGCACGTACTTCCCTTCGCATCAGACACATCCCCATTTGTGCCAACCGTGGGTTTTTTACAATGCTAATATAATTTTCTGTAAATACGACAGTCACATAAGTACGGCACCATCTGTGTTAGCTCTTCATTTGCAACACGCTGAGCAACGTCGCGTGTGCGCTCTACACGTCCCCGGCGTGAGATTCGATATTAAACCTTTCGCCGACGGATTATTCATTACCGCGCTAACAACCCAGCGTGCGGCGTGCCAACCTTAATCACAATTCACAAATTAATCTCGCAGAACCGAGAACCGACGGTATCGTTTGTTGACGGCATCGTCTAGCCAAATATATTACCGGTTAGAGAACCGGAAGACGTGCGAGCGAGTTATGATTGTGTGTGCACGAAGATTACCGTCCGACTTCGGGCAAATATGTCCGTTGTACCGGTTGTAATTTAATCGATGGAATGTCGGGAATCCGACGGCGTTAACCCTCGCGAATTTTCCGAGATCGACGGAAAATTCGTGTCGGCGCATTCGCATCGACGAGGTACGGGAGTAAAAAGCAGTCTCGCCCCGCACTTCCTGGTACTTCATGAAGTATCCGCGCGCGCCGCTGGGCTGAAATTTGATCGTAGCAGAGTTGAAAATTAAGTATGAAAGTTCTATTAAGGTCAAATCGAGCGCGCGCGCGGAAGCGTGCGGGGGGATTAATTTAATCCTTCGGCGGAGCTTGATCCACTCTCAATTTAACATCAATATTGAATCCATAACGGTTCACTTCACAGCGAACTTCGCAAGAAACCGCAAAATCTCGCGGTAAAGAACGCTAATTGCCGCTTTTATTGGTACAGGAAAATTCCGGACTTCGCTGAATGGCTGCGATTCTCGAGATCGGGCGCTCGCAATTGAAAGATTTTATCGCATTCCGGAGCGTTTCTCTTTTATCACCGATTTAAATTACCATGTCTAATAATACAGGTCCGTGTCTGTGCGAAAACGCAATTAAAGATAATAATTTATTAGTATTAATATTAATATTATTTCAACCTCGCTTTTATTGCATTTTATTATGAACATGTTTTAATATAAAAAGCTCTCAATAATTCGTGTGCGGACGCATTACTGCAAGTATAATTATTAAAACTGAAAAGTTATGAAAAATGAAACTTTTCCTCTCTAAAATAATTAAGAAAAATGATATCGGAAATTAGATAGAGCTTTTAAATATTCCTTTATCAGTAATCGTATTTAAACCTGTACAAAAATTCATTGCCGTTTTCATTTTACAAGCGCTCCGACTATCTTGATATAACGTAAATTAATCAAAATATTATTTCATATGTTTTATTCCAACGCAGCGCATAATAACGTAAAATAACCATTATGCGGATAATGAAATTAAATTATGGAAATATCTTTTTTACAGGTGGAAATGGTGATGTCGAGGATGCGGATACTGACGTACAGGACTACAGCACGGACGAGGACTACAACGACGTTTTCGATTCGACCACTAACGGGTAAACGTTATATACATACAACCCCTATCATCTTATCGTCTTATCGCAGGATTAAACGTGAAGCTATACTATATATCCGTCTAACTGGCGCCGTGTGCTTAATTAGCAATTAAAATTGCCATCGATCGCCCATCCACGATGACCGAAGACTTCCTACCTGCGTCTGGGCGAAAATTGCTCGAGACAAACGAGGAAACCGACCCAGACAACCCTTTTTAATCGTATTATACGTCCACACACGCCTCTTTATCTTCTTCTTTTTTGCACAGGAACCTCTCGTTAGTAAAAATGATAGACGAGATGAGAACACTTTGAGAGTCGCATCGAGATATCCTTCGGGATAATCCTGTAGCTCGGGAAAAATGTTAGTACGGGCTATTTAACATTATCATTAACGTGACGTATTTGATATATACGACAAACAGAAAATGAGTTTATTTGAAATTCATTTTCTCCTACCGGAGCGTACAGTTTTCAATATCAAGACATCGCACTTCGCGTTAGAAAAAAATAAGTATAAATATATACCAACGATTAAAAAAAAAATATTTTAAAATTTTGCAAAATTCCATAATATCGTGATAAAGAAGTATCATGTACAGGTTTCAACGATGTTTGTTTTGAAAATATAATTCGGAGAGGAAGTTGAAATTTCTTCCGGCACTTTTAATCGCGATTCGACTCGTATCGGCCATTAAACAAATGTCACTGGTACTACGAGTACATGAGAAGAAAGGACAATGATACGTAAGGAACGGGAAAGATATTTCACAGATTCGTTTCTACCGTATGACAGGAAAGTGAGACAGAAGTGGATAAAAGAGAGAGAGAGAGAGAGAGAGAGAGAGAGAGAGAGAGAGACCGAGGAGAGAAAGCCGCGGGGCTTAATAAGGAAGCGACTTGATTGGTTCGATTCGAAAGCTAATAATGCCACTTCCCGTGTAGGCAAGCTTCGGGTGGAACTGCAAAGGCTGCCGCATGATTAAATTTGAATTTTCTGCTCCCCCCTCTCTCCTTCTACACCTCCAACCCCTGTCGTTTCCTCCTACCTTCCTCGTAGCTAAGCTAATTTGCAAAGGACGCGTCGATAGAGCCAATCGAAATTCTGTAGTCCAAATTTCATATCCGCGCTTTCTCCGGCTCGCCTGAACGCAAAGTCTCTTCCGATAGACGCCACGGTGTGAGTTTACGGCGGGATGTGAAAATATATTTGAAAATTCCCATCTTCGAGAATGTCCTTTTGCGCCCCGCACGTCGAGTGGGGAAAGTCGCGCGCGCAATTTCCGCGCCGCGCGATTTTCTCTCGACGAGAAGTTGATATCGACGTCCCGTCGCGATAAATCAGTTTTTGTCGTTACACTCGAAAATTTAATATCGAAATCAACGTCGGGCAGAGAGAGAGAGAGAGAGAGAGAGAGAGAGAAAGAGAGAGAGAGAGAGATGAATGAGAAAAAGAAGGGAAAAGTTCCGAATTCGTCGAAGAAAAGATGCTTGAAACGTCATTGAGTGATTCCGAACTTCACTTCTCACGACCGGTATCAAAAGTTCAAATGCGTATTTAATATATCTTTTTTAATTCTTCGTTGGCACTTCTGCTCCGTCAAGAAGATCCTTCGCCGCCGAATGCAAAAGTCTCGCAATTTCTGCAGCGCGAGTCTCGTAATTTTCTCTTCTCAAGAATTCGATATCGATGTCCCGTCGCAATAAATCACTTCGTTGGTGCGTTAAAAAAAATTGAATATCGAAATCGACGTCGAGCAGGAGGCAAAGAGTTCGTATCCCATTCTCTTAATTAAAATGTCAAGGTGCCGATAGTTCTCAAGTTGCGAAACAGAAAGCGAAAATTCTTATACTCTCAATTCGATTCGTCAATCGAAATGAAATTAATATTCCTTGACGGAGAAACAAGGATATTCCGTTTCTCTCGACAAATTTGTTTCGAGCGAAAGAACAGCCGATACGATACCCGAGAGAGAAGGAGAGAGAGAGAGAGAGAGAGAGAGATTTGCCGACTTATATAAATTTTCTTGTCATCATTTTGCACGATCTAGTTTCCACCGTGCTCTCGGATGCGCGGGTGTCACGCGAATCGATATGCGAAGGTCAGATTTACCGCGGTATATATTTCCGATACGATAATACACTCGTCGTTATTGAAATTACACACCATAAAACGTGCGACATCTTGCTTCCAAGACAGCGTATATATCTTTGGCCGTCTCTCGTTGGAATTTATATCTTCCTCCCGTAGTCGTACCCTCAAGAAAAGTACATCCCGGGGATCTATATGCAGCTATATACAATCTTAATGCCGTGGAATTTTTACTTATCCCCCACCATGAATTACTGCCACGAATGAAATACTTAAGTTCCCATAAAATGTGTGGAACGCTCACAAAGCGATAATAAAGAGCGTGAAACGCGCGCGGCACGTAAAATGCAGCGCGGCGGATGTAATCGATTAAAGCGCATTAGCCGATTAAACAATAAAATACCGGATTTGTGTTACCTACTGAATTTGCGCAAGCCTGCAGTTTATACACGCGAATTATAGCTATCGTCACAAATTCACGGTAACTCGATTCAATTGCATTAACCGAGCTTTCCGAGCCCGAATTTGATTTTATATTTCGGCCCCGGCGGAAATTTGACACAACCAATTTGTAATGTCGTTTTTAGGTACGCGAAGTCGCAACGATCGCCGATTAATTCACCATGATCGACTTCGAGTGGCGTTGTTACCGGATAAATCGTCGCGCTCGAGTTTGTGCATCCCTGTGCATCGCCACGACGTACTCCGAAATCTCGCGTTTGCAAACCAGCGCGGCGCATTAGCTTACATCATTACATCGTAGCGTAATGACACGGTAATGCGTTTCGCCGCGATTGAAATTACGCGTCGTAGTCGATCGTGGTGACACATTATAGTCGTGATACCGATAGCACGCGCGCGGCCACACACGCCGTCCATTGTGAGCGCGCGCGCACGAATTTGCATGTGTGCGCTCGCACACTATCTCGACCATGCACTTCTCCAATGCGATCGCTATACATTATTCCACCCTAAATGCGGCATAGCTCCATTAATATTGATGCCCGGTTGGCTGCGGGTAGCTCCTACGAGTAACCGCATCTCTATACGGGATGTTAAGCAAGAATAGATTTCTGCCTTGAATGTTCCCGTAATCGAGCGATTACGCAGCGATTTTAGAGAAAAATTCATCGAACACGATCGAAACGCGTGAGAACGCTCGGATATAAGATCAAACGCAAAATTGATATTTGGCGTGTTACAAAAAAAAAGATAACGTTTGATAAATTTGGAAATAAATTCTAGTACCGTGAAGAAATACTTAAACGCATCCTCAGAAAATAAATATGCATGTATCAAATGTAGAATGTAGAAATGAGTAGAAAAATATAGACACAAATATTTTCGCGCGGTAATACGCGTAAATACGCGAAAGAAATAAAGTGCTAATCGATTTGTCTGTCGGCGCATGAACACGATTAGCAGCGGAAATTTGTATAACACCATTGTGACATCACCGGCAATAATTGCCGACGTGGTATCGTTTACCCCTAATTTGGATGTAAATGTAACAGCGTGCATCGCCCTCCGATGAATGTGGAGATCGTTAATGCCAAAACAACGTGTTATTGGCCTGAAAATGACGCCAGCGTTACCATATGCGATACCATAAACCTTCGCATGCGGCTTCGAATCATAGCGTAATTGAGATCGTCATTTAATAATAACAAATACGTAATAGGAGACCGCAAAAATACATTCGATGTCAATAAATTGTTACGCGATTATTTGTCGGACGTTTATGAAATTAGCCAGAAAAGGCAGAACGATATATGGGAGAAAACTGCAGGATAAACTCCGATGGCTGATATTTTCACTGTATTTTCACATCAATCACGCCATCACACTGTATCTTAACATCAAACGTGCCAATCTCGCTCTGTATTCTGATTTATTTCTAATATATTCACAAAAGTGTCATATATTGCCTATAATTCCACGTATGCTAAGAGAGATTTGGTTTATTTCCTTTACCAATAAACGAGAAACAAGCGATTGAAAAAATAGGGTTTTTCGCGAGCTAAGCTTCAAATGGCGAAACAATGGCGAACAAATAGGTAGCAAAATTATCTTTTTCGGTCAATTTCAAGTAAACTTTACTTGAACAGAATTTTAAACTAAGATATGCTATATTAAAAATTGAATTCAAAGATGTGCTATATTCAAAGATGTGGTATATTAAAAATTAAAAAGTCACTATAAATAAAGACCTTTCTCGACATTCTCGCTAGAGAAAAAGTTACTTCTTCTGAAGAATTTCCGTGTATTCACTCAGGTTGCGGGAATTTTGGGGCACCTTTATATATTTATACATTTATCTATCGAAAATTTCCAAGAAATTCTGAATTCACAATTGGCAGAGACAAGTTGATAAAATCACGAGAACGATGATACGAATATTAAAATATGTCTTGAAATTTTGACGTTTCGAACAAACGATACTCGAATCGTTATGCAAATTTTCACCTGATAATCGGTACGTTTCCTCCCAGCATTAACTTCAGCTTTCCAAGCAGGCGAGCGAGAAACAAGCCCCGCCACTTAAAACGTTGTCTCCGACATTGGGGTGCGAGACCCTGGTTGCCGTCGAGCGCGAGGGATAGAGGGGAGGTTAAACGTTGCATTATTTATAGAAACCCTGCAACCTCCTAATCTCCGTCTGAGAAGGTCTCCTGCCTGCTTGAAATGGCCAACGAAGGAAGTGACGTAATGCCGTCGGTGCGACGAAGTGTTAACGCTCTCGCGACGCGTTTTCCCTATAAATCTTCCGGACTCTTCCGGAGATCTCGCAGATTACATCTCACTCCGACGGCGCGTTTCGCCTCTCGAAATTCTGCAATATTTAATTACGTATCGTATTTTTGCAATATGGCGGTTGGACGTGAGCTTAAGTCGCGTCGTCCCCCCGAAGCACGTGATTTAAATAATTGAGGGCTAGCGCGGTACATGGCCACACACATATACGAACACACATACACATCCCTTATTTCACTATCATCCCCCCTACGTCACGATAAACGACCTCTTATCCTCCCATTCCCTCAAGCAATACCGGAGCAACCAATTGGTAGACCTAGCGGTTATTCATAGCACAAAAAAGAAGTAATCCTTGTTTTAATTTAATTTTAATATTTCGAGAAAGAACATTGCAAGGTATAATAGAATTCAAGATTAGAAAAATTTAAAGGAACAATGATGTACCTGTTTTATTTTTTTTCTACGTATAATGTGCACACAATAAATTCTTCCGAAAGGAAAAATCAACTACGAATCAATCGAAAACTTCGTGACTACGGTAAAAAGAAAAAATTATTAAAGATGTTCCGTAGGAGTAGATTATTCGAGATTTCGCGACAGAAATATTTAGAGACAAGCTGATTAAATTTGTCTCCGTTTTTTAAGACTTCTCGAGATTTTAATCTCGCTCTACCCCTGCGATGTAATCCCTCCACCCTGTGCGGAATTTCCACCGCGCGTTATCGCGCGAGAGACAGCGCGAAAATATCACCACGATGCGCCGATAGATAAGAGCATGGTGCTGCGTTCGCGTACGTAAATGTATGCAGTTTTATCACGCGTCACCGGGTTAAGAATGCACGCGCGCGTGTCACCGCGAACGCGGCGTGCTGAAAATAGAAAGAGCGCGTTTCGCTTCAACCGGCTGATAAACGCGAGCACGCCCGCCCGCGCTGCGGTGCTGCGTCGCTTCAAAATGCATAGAATTACTTTACATAGCGAACAGATAAAGTGCAGTCAACTGGCGCGTACATGCAGTGCGCAACGCCACAGGCGTTGTATATATTTCCATCTTGCTCGCGTACACGCCGCTAATTTCATACACGCCACTCGGCGTCGAAAACCGCGAGCCCACGGTTGACACGCGTCACGCTTGATTTTTACGCTATTTTCAGCTGCACATTTTTACATTCGCGCTTAGACGCACCGGCAAGTCTCGACCTCTTTGGCGCATCTAGGAGATCAAAAATCCCTTCCTCCCTAATTTAATTGAAATATCTAATTCGAGCGTGTTCACCTGCGTCGGAATATTTTATATTTAGATAGTTGGAAAATAGAAGTGGAGTGTACGTGATGTTAAGACAGAATCTAATATATCAGACCAATTATTCCCTCCATAATTAATTTTCGAAATTAATTTTCAAATTATATAATTCTCGAAATTTATATCTCATTTTTCTGTCTCTATTAGATCAACTGATGCATAAATATAGCATTAATAAGAAAAATAAAAATAATATTTTTCTAAGAAAAATAAAAAATAATATTTTTCTAAGAAAAATAAAAAATAATATTTTTTTTTAGTATTTTCCAACTATCTAAATATAAAATCTAATCTAAATATAAAATATTCCGCAGGTGAACACGTTCGAATTAGATATTTCAATTAAATTGTGTGGCGAGAGGGATTTTTGATCTCCTATATGCGCCAGAGGTCGAAACATGCCGGTGCGTCTAAGCACGAATGTAAAAATGCGCAGCTGAAAATATATATATACCTTAACTTCGTTTCAACTTAACATTTATTATTTAGGTGATGAAATAAATATATAGGAACGTACATTTGTTTGATAAATACTAAATTTATGAGTGGTTCCCTTGATGCTCCATTGAAAATATGGCACTATACGATAAAACTATCCTAAAATAAAACCAAACAAACAAATGCGAAATAATGCGTTTTTAATGAATTTCTCTATGACATGTATTTGATCGAATATATTCTACTGCGAGCGCGCACTTATACATTTTCTAGTGACATCGAAATCTCTTTCGAAGTTGCGCTTTCCGTGTTGCGACTCGAAACGCAAATTCTGACGCATTCACTCGCAATTATCTCGCTTACTCCGTCAATCGTCCGCGAACCGACGTTGTCTCGCGAACGAGGCGAACTTCCTGACAAGCCTGTACCATCACGATGACTTACTGATCATAGGTTGATTTATATTCAATAACCAGCGGTAAACGCGGGGTTAGTTACTCCCCGTACCCACGTGCAATCACGTCCTGCCACGTGCAAACGCGGCTGATGGTACGTACACACACGTTCCTCACGTACGTATATCTAAGGACCTCGCGCGCACACACCCGCGCGTATACACGCATACGCTCACACGTATACTTCCTGCCGACTCGCATGCACATGGGGCGGCAATGTAAACTCCGTGATTGGCCCTCTGCGGAAGGATAGGGTCACCCTAACCGCCCTGTTCCTCCGTTTGTGTTCCTTCGCGTATCAGCCATCGCTGGAAATCGCTTGGCAGCGAGGAAGGCTAGCGGCCAAGTAAAATTTAATAGAGGACTGCTTATGTAAATATTCTCTTTCGAGTCCGAGAATACATAAGCCTCACCCGTTACTCCGTCGATCTAACGATGAACATCAAGAACTCGAAGGAAAATGTCGGTAAACGTGTGCTCTTGGGGACCGACTCGCGACTTGATAAGAGATTTACGCGCGACTGATGATACGTTTGCGATCGTCCAATTAATCACGTAAAATTCCATCGAAATCGGCGGCGCTTTACTGGCCCCGATTATTGGGATTCTGCTACACGGCGTTCAGCCATGGGTATCTTCCTGAAATTCATCTCTTCCTCCACCCTCGAGCAACAACATCAACGTACAAGGATAACCGTGGATAATAACCGAGTCCCGTCACCGTCGTATGAACGCGTCGTTGGCGCCGAATGGTGCGTATCTCTCGTTACTACGGCACGTCGTAACATTACGACTGTCGGCGGTCGTGAGCGTCGTCGGGTCGCGTGAAATGCAGCTGTGCATCGGCGACATAATTAAAGTCGCTCTTTGTCTCGCGACGCGTTCCACTTGAATTATTCCCCGTGACTTCGGGAATTTAGGAGGAGCGGAAACACGCCGAGCCGTATCTCTGCGCGAATATACGGGGATTTAAAAAGTGTGGCGCACGTTTCTGGAAACGTGCTCCGCTAAATGCGTTTCGCGGCGCCGTATATCAAGTCCCCCGCGATAAGGCAAACTTGGCGCGATACGCATTACTTTCGCGAACGGCGAAAAGGAGAAGGAGAGAGTGAGAGCAGAGTATGAGAGACAGAGAGGAAGAGAATAAGAGAAGGAAGGGAAAGGAAGAGAAGTAAGAGACGAGTGTACGACTCTGTATATATTAACGTGTGCATATTTAATACACCGTCCTGGCAGACGGCATTCGAGCCACCCTCTCGGATCCATATTGGCCGAAGTGCGAGCAATTGCTTCCACTCGCCGGAAGCAACAATTGATTGCGGCAGCCACGTCTCTGAAGCACATTGTCGCCACTGCAACGTTGGACGGCGGTCACGCAGATATCTAGCAGCGTTTCGCTCTGCTTTCACGATTGTCGTTAATGTACTATACGCAATCACGTCGCCAGAGATGTCAATAAATCCCCAAAAGTAGAAGTCTATATAATTTATAGATATCAGAGACGGTTTCCGCGAAATTTAAAATCCGCACACATCGCGGTTTGTTAAGGATGACTATCTAATCCGGTATAATTGATCCGGCTAATCATATTGAAAGAACAGGGAAGTTCTTTGCAAACGTAATAAGCCTCGCGTAGAACTCAAGCGATAAAGTTCGTATCCCTTAATAACCCCTCGTTGCAAAGTTACATTGTTATCCAGACCGCAGGTGGGATTACGGGTGCGATCGATTCGCGTACGAGGGGGTATCCAAATGGATGATATTTAATGTAGGAACACTTCGATGGAGAGGAGATTAGATATACATTTCGCGAAATAATAATCAAGAACGGCGTGAAAATGTCGAATGAAATTGTTAACTTTTAATTGTTAAATCGCTACCTCGCATATCTATCTGGGGGGTGGCTTTCTACTCAAATATAAATATTTCTTGCGAATTGTTTTGTGTTATGCTGTACATTATTATATGTCGTGCGACCGCAGACTGTAAAGAGTACGTATTATTACTTTTCGCAGGACCGATGTGGACGCTGCGTCTGGCACGAAAAGTGGCACTTTGAAATTCGTGAGGACTCTGACAAACATATCGAAGGACGCGGGCGGCGTCGCTCATATGCGATGCGAAGTCGTAGGCGATCCTCCTCCAATAAAGATACGATGGTTCAAGAATGAAGCGCCATTAGAAGAGGACCGACCAAAAATCACCATCAGGAAAATACATGCGCAAGTAAGCAAAATTATTATGATAATTCACAACTGCGCTTCCAAGATACCCTATAAAAGAGAGAGAGAGAGAGAGAGAGAGAGAGAGAAATTTTATATTTTTCTAGAATTAAAATTTTTTTCAATTTCCTCCTCTCGATTTCTATTTTTAAATAAATCGATTTCACTTTTATTCTAAATACAACAATTTAGAGTATAAATTTGTACTTTTAACAGTTCATTTTTAATTATCAGCTTCCAAGTTAGTGAACAAAGTATTTTGTCTTGTTGTTTTAGACGCACGAACACGCGGCGAAGAATGTGGCGGGAAGTCGATTGAAAATCACAAATTTAGACGTTTCTGATGTTGGTTTTTATACTTGTCGCGTCACTAATGGCAAGGACCAAATTCAAAGCGAAGGAACCCTGCGAGTCGATTCCTCGAGGAAATGGCAAGGTAAGTTACTCAAAATCAACTTTTCCTCAGCATCCTTTGTATGTGCTCTAGTTAATGACTTAAACATTTGTGTATAATAAAGTATATCGAAAGATAAGTAATTTCTGTTCAACGTATCAAGATTTTAAGTATCAAATAATTCGCTAGTCCACGAGATATATCAAAATACTTTAAGTATATCGTTATATTACGCGCGGAAACTCCATATAATATAAATAAATAGTAATTTCTACATTCTTATATCACTTCATATTATATTTAAGCGAGAACGAACTTTTATACATATTTGGTGTAAAGTTACGCCCCAAGCGACCGTTACGCAATTACGTTAACGAGTCTCGGCGTAACCATTAGGAAGGATAATCATATCTTCTTCGTAATTTTAAAGCCACGCGAAACGGTTCGCCCATAATCTAGATGGTTTACATTTCATGGGAATAATTAAACACATACGAGTTTTAAAACGCGCGGTCTGTAAAATCCGGCGAGTATAATATTTCCACGTCGTTGAGGTACGGGCCTCGAAGGTGGGCTTTGTGGTCCGTAACTCGCTCGCAGCATACAACACCGTAAAAAACATTTGTAATGTGCGAAGTGAATCGCGACGTTTTACCTACCCCGTCGCGTCGCCGCGAAAATTTTCGAGTAAACGCATTAAACGCCGGAGGTAACGGTGTATGTTTGACACGAGAGCATTATCGTAAAACGCAAAACCGCCTGACTATGAAAACGGTTATGCAGCTTGACTCTACACTGTACAGCTGTATTGTTATCTTATGGATTCCAAGGGCGTAAGCAAGATTCTTTCTCAGAACGATCCCTACTCGTGTTTCGGAAAATCTCACATATTTGTTCATAAAAATCTGCAATCTTTTATTGATTATTCTATTTTTACATTGCGGAAACATTACGGAAATATTGAAAAATTATCAAAATTGCCAATATAATCACACATTTTCTTTCAGGAATAGTTTTCGATCCCACTTTTCACGTCTTTTATTTTATTGATGTTAATTCCGACTTGTTTGATTTATTGTTACCTTTTTACGCTTTTTCTGCATGCATTTTCTCATCAGTTTTAATCTTGCATACTATTTCTATAAAATTTCCCTCGTTCCGCGAAACTCCGTAAAAGCACCTCTGCCTACGCGCCTGTGTTATCTTCTCTAGTCTAGTGGTAGTTCCTGTTTACGATGCGCTACCCTTTCACCCGAGGTCATTTCGGTTAATGCGATATTAGAGTAAATATTTAAAGACTCCAACTAGGAAAACGCAATTGTCGATAAATTGCCAACCCCATTCAAACCTTGAAACTCCAAAATTATCTCAACATGTCTCGCGAATAATAATTACAAATGTTTATTTCATTTTATTTTAAAGTAGTATTAACGTATTATTTGCGTAGTAGCCTATTTTCGTTATTCATAATATTTTGTAAATCTTTGAGAAAAATACATTAAAAAAAAAAACTCCATAAAATTGTGCATCGTAATTATTTAGTATTGTCGAATTCAACTCTACATAAGATGTATCACGCTGACATGGTTTTCTATACAAAGTTGTCGTTTCAAAAGCCGACTTAGTTTTTTTCTCAAGAATGAAAGGAACTGCCGAAAGGCAGCTTCCTCGAGTCGTGCTCGACTTAAAGGTTGGAAAGGAATCGTAAAAGTAACGCTGTTATACGAATCCTGCGCTCCTTCTCGTCGTAGCGAAAATCGAATCGAATTAAGAAGAAGTGAAAGTCGGGTTCCCAGTCGTCGACCGATGTGGGACGACGAAGAAAAGCTCTTTCGAGCTTCGGCTTCGAAAGGAACAAAAATAAGAAACTTAATGCGGTCGTAAAACTGTCAATTTGAAGAATTCACGATCGACTTTCGTTACAAGAATGAATAAGAGACAAGTTAGAGAAAAGTAGAATGCAGAAAAAATGATATCTTTTTTTAATGTATCACTGTTTGAGATATTTTTGATTTCAGTTTAATTTAACGGTATAAAGATAATCGTGATGGTTGAACACAAAAAAAACGCTAAATTTGATTAGCCTCACTCATTCGAAGTAAAAGCCGGCTTTATGAATTATCAAAAGTAAATTACCAAAGTAACAACCGCTAAATTCAATTATCTAATTAGTACGTAATTATTGTACTTGATGTCTATAGTACATTGTTATTATTTTGGCAATCAGTATAACGTAATTTGTTGAACGTTATACGCGTAAACAGGAATTATTTGTGATATTCATGATCGTTTTAATCCTCGAGGTCCACCGTGAAAGGTTAATCGACTCTGACTTTAAATTATTTACCGAGTCCGTAATTCATTAACTTGGCCATCGAATAATATTTCGTTTGGACGAGCTGGGAAATAATTCACTGAGAGTCGGTCGTTAGCACTTAACTTCGCTCGCGAGCACGGCGCATCCAACTTCTCAAGATCACAAATTTTTCTCTTGACGTTCTGTCCTCTCGGTTCAGAGGTTCTGAGATACGCAATTCAAAAACTTCATTATGCATGGTGTAAATTAGTTTCAATTTATCGCGAGACGGGGGTAAACTTCTTAAGGCAAAACTCGGAACATTTCCTCGGACGAAGTTATTGCGCGACAGCTCTGACAAATTCTAATCCAGTCTCGTAGTGTTTCGGTTAATGCGCCAAGTACGGCTAGAACGAAGCAAACCTCGGTAAAGTCTACCTCTCTTGAAGATAGACAAACCGTGCCGTTTCTTCTTCCGAGGGACGAAAGTTTGTTGTTAATGCCGCGTGAGTAGAATTTGGAAGTCACCGCGACGGCAAACTACAATCAAGTTCCAAGGACTTGAAGTATGCACGGCCAAGATGTACTATCAGTGACCTTCCATTAAGCAATCGTGAGTAGTTTATGTTTTCGGGAAACAGATAGAGGTACGAGGAAAATGCATGTACATTAAAAGAAAGAAAAAAAGAGGAAAGAACGCGAGATAGAATTTTACGTTTATCAATGTCAGATAAAATCATCAGATAAAATCACTGATAAATCATCACCGTTTCACGAACGAGAAGTTATTCGGAAACTATCAACGCTTGCGAAAATCAACATTGAATTTTTTAAACTCAATGATGTGTGCTTCGGCACACAACGAACAAATGCGAGTACCGTTTGAGCGTTATTTCATTTTACGACGATTTTCGCACGTCACGTTCCTCGTTGAGTTTCCCCCCGAGCGAAATGACGTTTACAACTCGAGACAGGGATAACGGCGTGCAAACAGCGCAGAATGAGAGTTCTGCGGCCCTTCCGGCCCACTTCGGTGACCCGGCCGAAAAATGTACTTCGTCGTGGTGGCGCGGCGAGGCGCGCCGCGCTGCGCTGCGCGGCGCCGCGCCGACGGAACTTCCTGTAATAAAGTTTCCGAAAAGCTCTCACGCCCGCCCGGAGGCGATGAAACAAAACTGGCGGCGTTCCTGGGACGAAGTTATCGCCGAAGAGAGAGAGACGCCCCTAACAAATTCTAATCTAATCCCGTGTCGGGGCGCCTCAGCTAATGCACGAGGCGCGGCAAGGACCTTTCGTTCTCGCGGTGTCCTCGTTCCGAGGACCTCGGTCCTTCCCCGGGCGGTAGGACGAACTTTAATATTAGCACTCTGCAAGTCAAACTCGACGCCGGAAAATTCAAACTTCTTTCCTCGCTGCGTAGAGGGTGCCCCCCCCCCTTTTTTCCCTCCCTCCCTCGAGGATTTAACACGGTCGCGACGAGGGTAGAACGTTGCTGAATCGCAAGCCCGGAAAGGGAACGTGGAAGAACGCGGAGGGTGCCGAGGAACCGATCGTCGACGGTAGCGAGGGATGATTTCTTTGCGAGCAATGAGGAACCTAATCGCCCGACTTTACCGCCCCGGATTTCGGTATATTCGCGTCCGTCGTACACCGTCCCGCTTCCCGCATCGCCATCGAAGCATGGTTGCCTTATGTTTAATTCCGATTTCCGAGGGCGAAAACACGAGTTAATTAACGGAGCGGCCTCGAGATTGCTCGGGTTTAATAAGTTGTGTCGACGTGCATTAACAGATGTTTTGATCGATGGATTAATTACTCGATACGAAAACAGGATTGCGATATTGTTTTTCCTCCGATGTTAACTTCAAAATAATATTAATTTACAAACTTTTAACTTAAAACTTAAATTTTAGCAAGAGACTACGTGTAATGTTATATGTTCTACATTTCAATTCCCTAAGCTTGCATGATGGAGTACGAGCCAGTTGGATCTTGTTTTCGAAATCAAGGTACATCTAAATTGATTAATTGTTAATAAAATAACACGTATAAACGATAAACTCGGTCCAGTATCGTAAAAGATATTGCGCTCAATAATCCCCGAATTGCAGCGCGTTCTGCTTTATGCGTTGCGCAAACGCAATTTTACGGTAAGGTATATACATTCATACTGATCGTCGACATGGCAGCTAAGATTTACCCTCCGCGTGTTTGCAAGCGATTGTTTCACGTGATACGGAAACCGACCAAATTCGCCGCACGTCGTCTACATCGTAAACTTCGTGCGCAATGAAATTCATATCGCAAACGTGAGGCTTGCCGAAATACTCGAGAGTTTCAAACTATCGTGTTGACCCCAAACTTGGTGATGTACCCTCTAAGACGCATCTCCCTTCTTAAATTTCGCGGGAGTAAATTTATCTTGTCGAATTCTTTCTCAATTTAAGATAGTTATAACATAAAATGAGATTTTTTTTAATTCGTTGAAATTTATACTATATATAGATTTGGATATGACTCAATTATTGGCGCAATTAAAAAACAATTGACCGCTCGAGAGTTGAGATATTCGCAATTAAAAGTGACATTTTTTATACATATTCTTGAAGTTGAAGTTGAAGTTAATGTCTTATTTTTACCTTCTATTTTTAATTTCTTTTAAACCATTTAGGATCTTAATAAAAAAACTATTGTAATATTAAGGATTAATATAAAGATATTATACGAAAATTTTAGAATCGTTGAC